GCTGTGGTCTAGGCCGGCACTCGAACCGAATCTTGACGCCCAATCGCCTCGCTATATGCCTTAGCACCAAAGACAAGCTACCAAGTGGCTTTAACATCTTGCCCAACTCATATCTGGCTGCACAGATGGATTTCTCTGTTGCTCAGTTCACGACTGGCTCCGTTATTCCGGATACAAGTTCATCCCCCTTGCCACTCGTCAAGCATGACTATGCAGTTTCGGCTGAACAATCCCAATCTACCTCCTATTCTGACGCTTCGGATGCGTCATCAATTTTTCATTCGGCCACCTCTTTTGCAGATACCAAAGGCCCTTATAACAATTCCCTTCCAAACTGTGGGCCGGAGGATTTTTCGCGTACCTGTTTCCCTTACACAGGCCTTGATTCGACTTCTGAAACTACGTCAACTCCTGAGGGCGTCCAATTCTTGCCGTTTGATGGTGTCAGTCAGGCGGACAAGGGACCAGAGAAGGCTGATCGCATATGTACAGACTCTCCTACTCAAGATGAAACCAGTAACTCAACGCACAACAATCTAATTCCTGATGGCCTGGCAAACGACACCGGGCAAACCGCCTCCTTGTATCAAACTGGAGATGCGCCAGCTTATGGTGGGTACTATTTTGGTGATAATATTCACTTTACTGCTGAAAGCCGGAGCCGACTCAGAGGAAATGAGACCTCAGAAGCTAATTACAGGTACGCCACGCTAACAGATTTCAAGAACATGGCTCCTAACGCCCTCGGAGGCCCTCTTGACCCAAGCATACCTAACTGGACCTCGTGTTCTGAAGCCGTGACTTCGCATTCTAATCCTGTTCATTCCAATGAGCTTTCCTCTTCCCCACCTCATAATTATCCCGTCGATCAAGATCAACTGTTAGATTGTTCGAACCGAGATGGGACCAAGGGTTATGATGGCTGTGGGGACTCTGATGATTTTTCTGCCGCAGAACAGGCGATTTTCCTGGACCAGGAATTCAGTGGCACTCCTTATCTGCCTCCTACCCAGACACACAGTATGAATACTCAATGTATGGATTCTCAGAATTTTCCGAATCCAGCTTACAATCAGGGAAATTTCCCCACCATATTCTCGTATCCCAATATGCCTGCTGAATCGAAATTTGGTTTTGTCAATTCTAACCAGAATCCTCGTCCGGACGTAAACAGTCCAAGCTTTTTGCTAAACGCAGGCGATCCCAATAATCTGAATATATGCTCCAGGAACATGGGGATGGTCAGTACACCAGATTCATGCGAGCCTCACAATTGTTCTCCTGAGAAGGATATCTACCTCCGTAAGAATTTCGATTTTTTGCCTCAGTTTATGCTGAATTGCATCTTACGGGTCACTTAACGTGCACCAAATTATAATTGTTCCCTTGCTGTGTACGAATCTGCCACAGGTAAAATAGCTTTTTGTACTTATGAAGCCAGGGGAACATATTTTGCTTGTTTTTGTCTAGAATAGTATTTAAACAATAACAAAATTAATAGGCTTTTGGCGACTTTGAATAGTTAGTATATTCCCTTTTTGAAAAAAAATCAGCGCCTTCGGTGGGATTCGAGCCCACGACATCAAGGGCAAGGTTTGTATGTAGCCAACACTCTTGCCAACTGAGCTACGAGACCCGGCCTAAGTGTGATTCGAATCACTGCTCACGGTTGGGATCTCATAACTCAGGTGGTTAGAGCTCTGGATGTCTCCTTGCACTTTCGGCAGTGGGTACAATCCTTGCAAAAGCCACTGCATTTTTCGCAAAAGGGTCAGGTTAATTCACGACAATGCCAGGCATATTGAAGACTGTGAAAGCCGTTTTTGTGGCTGCTTGCTACACCACTACCCAATCCGACTGCAGGGTACCCTTGGTAACGTCTCTTTGTTTGCATGTGATCCTGCTTCTCTGAATTAAAACGCGTAGGATTCGGACAAATGACTCCCGAGCCCTAGTTTGATGTAGATTTAGAACACGACCGTACAAGGCTATACCAGTGATATGCGAGTGTTAAATGATATCAGAAGGACGCTTTCCTCTGAATAGTCGAATTTCCTTTTTATTGAGGTGTTATATTTTCCACAAAAGCATCATTATCACCGTTGAAGAATAAATGGCTTGACGAAGATACTTATACGATTAATGAAATAGGGTAGCAAGGTTCGAAACCCCGGAAACCGGAACCTCTGAGAATTAATTCGAATTCTTCAGTACGATGCTGGGAGTCAAAATTGAAATTCCATTCTACCTAGTCAAGCTGTCTTACTGTAAACTTATAGAAAACTACAAGAACCTCGACTCCTGTCCCTTTTTACCACCATGGTTCCAGAAACCGGAACCTCTTTCAAGATGTTCCACAGCCATAAATGCCAAACTCATCGTGTTCCCTGCACACATTTGAGCACTGAAACCCGCGGATCTGACTACACACCCACTTATTTCCTGTAATTTTTGAGCAATTCATGCTTAACCTCTCTGATGAAGAACGAGATAGAATTAAGTACTTAAGCGGGCAACGATGAAAATTCGGTAACCGCAGGAGGTTATTTCCTTACTTTGTCTTCAGACTGGAGTAAATGGTTTTGTACTGCTAAAATGTGCGTCTCGCACGATCATAGCGTTAACGTAGAGAGCGAGAAGCACTAGCAGTTCGGCCAACAGACTTTTACTCACATGAGCCCAAATGATGATACATTTGACCAGAGTTTTTAACATTTGCATGAATTTTTTCATGTATCGTGATGAGGAATGCGTTTTTTTTTTAAATTCGGAAGTCTCGTAAACTGCGTCCTTTTTTCTCAACTTGAGAATTCGTATCAACCTTTTTGGGTCGATTCCACGACAGATAGGTTTTGACTGCCAGATTCGCATAGGTTGTCGCATCTTCCCTACTATACGGGGAATAATTATAGAACCTAGAACTTTCGGATGGTGTTCTATAAGGTTTACTCAACAATTGGAACTTTTTGAAAATGAAGTTAATCGGGTTCTTTCTGGCGTCTTTAGGTTAGGGGCTAGATTACGCGGAAAAGATCCAGTGCCTCTCTCAAACCTCTTAATTTAACCTAATGAATGAGCGCATTCCAATATCGCCTTCTCTCACTGATTGGTGAACTCTGCTCGGCAGCACCTGCGCTTGCACGTGTTTACTTCATTTTCCCGCGTGTTTGTAGATTATCGATTTTTCGGCCACATGTCAGCCTTTCGGCGCAGACCATCCAAAATTCTGGCTTTGCCCCCCTCCTAAGGCAGAAAGTTTAGCGTGCTTTAGGTAGCAGTTGCGGAGTTTGGCAAACTTGCTAATAAAATTAGTAAATGGGCAGCTCTAACGTTCACTTACCTCGCGTAGTGTACGTTTAAGTTGAGTGACATTCAAATTGATAGCCTAATCAATCTCGCGGATGTAGCACTTTTCTCCAATTTACGCAAACATTGCTTGATTGTTTAAAGTTTCGTCTTCGAAATCACGATCTCGTGAGTAATTCATAATATGTCAGAATTAGCTAAAGCTGCTCATTAACAGCCGGTACTCTGAGAATTAATTCGAATTCTTCAGTACGATGCTGGGAGTCAAAATTAAAATTCCATTCTACCTAGTCAAGCTGTCTTACTGTAAACTTATAGAAAACCAGAAGAACCTAGACTACTGTCCCTTTTTACCACCATGGTCTGGAGTTGAGTTGGTTTGTTAATTATGTCTATCAGACACGTCTACCGAAAATAAAATCACTGCCCATTCTGAAGAACAACTGGGTTTCTTTAAAGTGATACCTAACACTGATCATGAGGCCATTAACATTTATACCGTTCTTCAAAATGACTTTCAATAGGAAGCAGCATCTTGTAAATTGCGTAAGTCTTACACAGGGGACTAGTTGTACAGCCTCCTCATTTGCAACGGGCTTTGGGTCGACAGATTGGAAGACACATTTTAAAATATCTTCAAGCCAACTTTGTTCTTTCTTGTTTACTGTATGCTAAGGCCTTTATTTCATGTGTTTTCTTGAGCTGAATTGCATTAAAATGCGTAGGACCTCTCGGGCATTTAATAACTAGTGGAGCCATCACAAGCTGTTGGTAGCGGGGGGGGGCAGGCTACTAGACCACTGCTTCATTCATAACTTATTTAGTTGGGTCGTAGGATCACCGTACTTATCGTTCTTTCGGGCTGAAAAATAATGATAATCTAACACTGAATTTAAAATGGCAACCCCAGTTTTCCAAATTATTGCTCCAACAAAGATCGAACAATTTGGTCGTCATAGGGAATTTCATTTGAAACTTTGCAATTTTTTGCGTTTAGAAAAAGAGTCTTGTTCTGCAAGCAATAGGAACCTCCCTCCAGGGAATTCTTGCAGTTAAAATACGTAATGTCTACAACAGATCCTTCATAATATTGAAATCCGTAGCGTGAATCCTGAAGACCGAGTACAAAGTTATGTCTAATGTGAAAGTTCTTTTTCCTGGATAAAGAAGTAATATTTTATCCCTATTGTCTGCGGTTTTATTCGTTTTGGGAAGATTTCGTTGATAATACGCTGCACAGTTGCTATGGTCTGTAATTTCTTGCAGTCAGAACATGGTTATTAGTACACACTGACAGTTAAGGCCCAGAACGCTAAATGCTTTGTCTGTTTGGATGTCCATTTTCCATAGCTTGTTTAGAACTCTTCAAAATGTTGATTACCTTTACGTTTATATTTTGACCGCATACCAAAAGCCTGGGTGTTCCTAAATAACTCGCCCAATATCAAAAGGAAAATATGATACGGTTGAAGTTTTAAACTTACCAATCTTTTTCTTTGCTCTGTTTGTAGATGTGAGACATTCGTCTACCTCAAATACCTGACTTAACTGGCTTTAGTAATTTCGGATTACGTCCATGATCTCCCTAAGACGACCTCATATTTTCTGTTTGCTCTGGATCCCTAATGGGCGATCAAAACACTAACAACCGTATTTAGGTCAGACAGTGTTTAACCGGAGATAGATGTGGAGAATTCCAAAAATCTCAGTCGAAGACAAAACCGATAGTCAGCAGAAAATAACCGTAAACTAAGTTGACCACTAGTTGAAAGCACTTTCCACCAAGCCAACTACTGCTGCGCTCACTCTACTTAGGTGCAGGTCTTCGAACGGCTGCATTTAGATTTACTGTTAATGAAATCCTAGGATCATATGACAAAAGCCCTCGAATACAAGATTAACGATTCTATGCAATTTCGTGAGGTTTCTCGATGGTTATTCTAAAGACATTCTGAACTGCGTACTTTAGAAACCGAATACACGATAACAGTCCGATGTTATTTCACGAAGTCTTGATGCCATTCACGGATAGTAATGTTATACGTGGTCTTTTATCTTGTATAGTTTAATCGTGAACTGTATGCACGCCGTGGAGATACATGATTTTGACAGCGTTCATGTTTTCGCATGACCGTGCCACTTATCTTCATTGCCCCGGTTCAATTTTACTTATTCTCTGGCGCCGCCAGATTGCTGGACTACGGTCTGTTCTACTTCGTTAAAAATCTGTTTTAAAATAGGAAAGCACTTGTCTTGTTTTGCCGACCAACCTGAAACGTATACACAAGACGGTCACTTCAAGTGCTCGATGCGTGTTTTCGTGCTCGACGTTTGTCCTTTTGCTCCAATAATCCCACTTTAGAACTTAGCGTTAGTTTATGAAGATTCACCCCGTCACTTCGACTGAACCCTTTTTTATTCCGCCTGGTAATAAAAGGAGGGTATGGGAGTTAATGATAGAAGGTCATAAGTGGTCAAAAGCAGAAATACGGTTGCGCCGCTGAAAGCGAAACATATGATCGAATTGCTAACCGTAAGGCTTCACAGCCCCTCCTGAATTGGTTATTTTAATTGGAGTTGCGAAAATTCCCATCAAAGAATTCAGACGAGTAGTTGGCGAGCGCACGTAGGCTTTTGATAAATGCTCGTCCGGACAGTACGGGGAGTACAACGGGGTACAAGAACAACGGAGTACGGGAACGGGGTACAAGTTAAAACGCGTTCGACTTTTCGTACAGCTGAGCCGTGGGAATAGGGGGGAGGGGTCGATAAGAGAAGGCTAGGTACGAGAGCGGGCCCGACCCGAATTTATCGAAACCCTACGTACACTCGCCAAATACTCTTCCGACTTCAATCGGAATTGAATGAATTTCTAAGGCTGACAATCTCTTTGGGAGAAAGCGACTTGATCGCTGGGACAATACTTTTATTCGCCTGACGTTTCAACATCCGTCGCGGATTCATCATCGGAGACATTAGCAGATAACGGTAGCAGAAACGGGTCCACCACGCGTGATGAACGTTCAACGGGTCAGAGCCCGCATGCTGTCCAACA